TTGCTTGCCAGGTGCGTAGCGCACTTGCCCGGCACCGCTTCATTCCAAATGAATGAAGTGGTGCCCCCGTAGCGCAACTGGTAGCACGATTGCCCGGAAATTACTTTTTTCTACTTTTCAAGGTCTTAGCGCTCTTGTCGGATGATTCCCGGTGCGCGGGAATACCCCTCATCTGTGATTGTCCTCTAGGTGTCTTTCCTACAGACCGAAGGAACCGCTCACACGGCATTCGCCAGGATTGTGCCTTTAATCTGCTAAAAATCCCACCTCATTTTTAAAGAGATTTGGATACGGTGCCGCACAGCGAGGGATTTCAAAAATTCCATCCGTTTTCACATTTCAGTCCTTTTACTAATACTATTACTAATAATAACAATATCATTGATAAGCTGATTCAATTTTAGAAGAAGACTATCGCCCAATAACCATGCTACCAGCCGTATCATGGAACATAGGAGAAAACGACACCAATGCTCATTCTTCGTCATACTTACAACAAGGAGCAAAGTAGAGATTGTCGTATTTTTCCAGTAAAAATTCTCATAAATAACATCAAAAAGATAGCGATGGTGGTGCAGTGGCAAGTCGCGCCACTTATTGCGCGTGTTACAGGCCCAAACATCGTATCAAACTTCACTCGGGCCCACATGCAGTACATCCGTCTGAGTCTTTAATCGCTACATAATTACATGGGAGTAGAAAAACTCCGCTATCAAAGTTCTGAGTGGGAGTAGAATGCGTGATGCAATCCATATGGAGACCCGATCAGCGCCCATACCATTGAAAATTCGACAGAGTTTGCTGGCGCGTAACCCCACAGGTGACGCTGTTTTTGCAGCTCTGGAGCTGAAGAAACTAGAGGCGTAAGTGCATTAATGCACACCTCATGCTGCGGTGATTGGTCACTGTCTACGTCTCACGTGTCTACTACACTCTCTCGTTCTCTCTCCTCGGTGCCTCGATTTTGTACATTGCCCCCACCCCATTCCCACTGTACAGGGCAATAGGAAATCAGAAGTGGATACACTTTTGACTGAAATTCTGAAGCACGGCGTAACGCAACCCAAAAATGATCAGCACAAGTTCGTTTTCTGGAGGGATGAAAGGCCTGATTGTTCTGGGCGGGATTCGAGCAGGATTCAGCCAATAGACCAGTCGCGTAATAAACGGATGACTTGCCACTACACCGTCTCACCACCTTTTTAAGAACTAAATACATACCAACTGAAACAGTAATGAAGCTCTTCAATTCAAGTGGAACAAACTCCTCCAAAGAAGCTGGAGTGATGGAGACGAAGTATGCAGAGATAAGAGGACCGCAACCATTTCCAAAACAAGCCCTCATTGATCCAGCCGCTCTACCATGCGAATTTGATTATCAGGTACGTTGCTTTCTTAAAGTTACGGTTGCTTTCTAAGAATTTGTAAAGCCAGTCCAAAATTTTTGACCCCTAGTTGTCCTTTTATACTGCAACGATCAATGCTTTTCAGAATAAACCCCTTAAGGGCGCCTCAGCGATGCCTTTATTAGGCTCGGGTGGGAGGCTGAAGCTCGAAGTGGAGTGAGCCACTTAAAGAATTTGGAAGTAAGCCTCAGGAGGGAAGGGATTCTGGAGAAGAACATGAGCAATCTTTGTTCTTCCTCAAAGAATCTTCCCCTCTTGGGCTTGGCCTAGCATCATCTATCGGCGGTTCTTGAATACCTTCTTTTGAATTAGCCTCCCCCTCCCCTGTCCCCCTGAGGACGTGAGCGCCTTTCAGAGAAATTGAGAAACTCCTTTCCTTTTGAATAAATTTCTGTCCCTCAAAGTATTGAATAATTCGTGGAATTTAGGTCGGCAGGTGAATACGCGCCTAGAATTCTGCCTAAAATTTTGGTCATAGTGTTCCAAAAAAAACAGGAGCCACAATGGTTGGGTCCCAAACTGCATAGTTCCAACTTTGTCGGGCACCTTTTTCCACTTACCAAGTCCGTACTTAAGCTTCAGGGGTCAGCAGCTTTCACGTCATACTCCAGGCTGTATAGTCATAGCTTTTTGCATCCACCTTATGGACGAACCGATGAACGTTTATTCTGTCTCCGACTTTAGGTCTTCTTCGGAGATATCGTACCAGCGGAGGCTGGAGGCAGCTAATGCGGGGTGTCTTCAGCGGATACAATAAGCTTGACGTTACTCCTATCCTCGTTACGTTGAACGATATCGCCCTTTCGCCCTTTCTTGCGACCATGACCCCTCTGCTATCCAGAATACAACCCCATTCAGTCAAGGATTACAAATGCGAACCCACTCACTAGTAAGTTACCAACGGACGACGGATACTGTATAGGTGTACTCACTGGTGTCCGCGGTCCCTCGTTTCAATCCTGTCCTTCTTTCTTTCTTTCTTCTTCTCTGGCTCATGCATCCTGAAGTCTCCCTGCTCCTTTTCCCTCCTCCAAGGCGTGGTCCCATAAAAAGAAATGTTTGACGCTGCTCTAGATTCGACGCTGTTGTAATGCCTCCTTATCATGCGATTGTGCCTGAATAAGTGCTTTCTCCACTTAGGCGAACGCAAGCTGGGCCCACAGCAATGGTTCAGAACTGTAATTTGTTCGATTTTTGAATGGAGACATTATAATAGCTAATCATTTCTATATACAGTGTCGCATGGGTGAGAGTTGTTCGGGAACAATAGCTCTGGTGGATCGACAGGTCACCGTTTGCCAGTACGACGTGACCAAAACGGACCGTCAGTGCATCTATCATGCCGACTGTCTTCAAGGCCAGGTCTCCATTCCAAGTCCACTTATCAGACTTCTTTTGCGAAAAACTGTATTTTCAGCAGTGTCTCCGTAACGTAAGCGGTATTTTTGTATGTACGGCATCAATGGAAGCGGCATTGGGCACGACACCGTGCACATACGACTACGAGTGCTCGGGAGGGGAAAAGTGTGTGAACCTTGTGCAAGAAGGAGAGAAGGTACGCGTTCTGCAGGACCTTTCGCTAAAATCGAATAGGGCATAGAACTTCGATCAGATGGGGAGGGAGTCGCGCCGAGTTTTCGAATACGCTGATGCTATGAAAATGACTGAACGTAATATGCTCCTAATTCTTGACCCCTACCACACTTTGAAGCTTGAGGCATTTTCGGATACTGAAGATTGCCGTTCGCTCCCCTCTCCCTGTTCCCCAAACTCTGGTTCTATCTATTCTCATAACCTTTTGGAGGTGATTACGTACATTACACACCTTCCGTATTCGAAAATCGCCGTCTAGTTTTGCAAAGAAACGAAAAAGAGTTAAATAATTCATCTTCAAGGTTTTTCGCTGCCGCCCCTCGCAAGTGAAGGATCCGCGTCGTGACCAACTTTGCCGAAGTAACGCAGAAGTGCCCTTATCAGCAGGTATCACCCCATTATCATTCTTTCCTCTATTATGTAAATCATCCATTGACCGGATATATCAGTGTGTATAGCACTTTAGATTGTCTTCTTGCTCACCCACAGAAGCCTCATTAATGTGAGAAGAGTGATAGAGGAAAGCAACCTCATAAAACTAGGGGGTTTTCGATGCGGTATCAGTCTAATGAGTGGGATGTTATGATTTCGGGACACCCTACCTCACAAGCCTTATGCCATAAGCCTCCGTGACTACACTTAACAGTAGGATAGGAGACTAGGAGGTAAGGTCAGTGTCTCAACATTTCACGCTCAAGGACAGAAACCCTGATCTGGGAAGAAAAGTGGAGAAAGTCGGCCTGCATATGTATGTACCGCGGAGGCATTTGCTGTCGTTTTGCGACCACAGGGACTGTTTGAGCTCGATCCATCAAGCAATCAATGTGGTGATGCTGACTACGCTGGATTTCCTCATTTTTCCTTCTACCTTCAATTGAGAAAGAAAAAAACTTTATAAACAAAATAATTAAAATGGTTCGTTTCGCTCCTTCCTCAGACGAACCTTATTATTTCGTCAATCCCCGGAGCTCATCAGTGAGTTGGGATTGGAAAACATGAAGCGAGTTCATTATGGCACCCGAATTGCAATTACTGGCAAGTAGCCAGCCATTGCTGGCTATTTGCCAGCATTGCAATTGGAGCGCATTTACTGCGGGCAGGTTCAGACAACTCGTCCAACACGCGTCTTCCTCCATTGCTAAGTGGCAGAGGGGGAGTCCCTGTCTAAGCCCCTGCCCGACGTTTTTTTTACTTTTTTTCATTATTGGTCAACTTTTCACCTACAACTTCATTATCGGTGGTTTTGCCCGCGAATTCGTTCTTGGACTGTTGCTTTAACTTACTCGGATTGCGTTCGAATTATGGAATGTGTTTGCATGAAAGCGCAGCCGCAGCACCAGTGACTATTTCAAAGGCTCCATTTACTTACTGTCTCACATTTTTGCTCAATATAGTCTTGAGGTTTGTGTACCAGCGCCTCCATCAAGAAGGCATTCATTGTTGTCTTCTTACCAGTATTCACACTGCATCCCTTAATCATCGATGCAGTGGATTCATTTTCACTACAGTTATTCATTTAGGTATGCAGACGAATAGCTGCTGTGAGCTTATGTGTTGATGCGGTGCCATCAGCCAGTCCACCAGCTATGCTCAACGTGCAGAGGAAAATTGTCACATTCATCCAAAATCTTTTATTTTCACGGTTTTGATTTATTTCATAAATAAACATATTTTCGCTGGTAATATATTTCGCTTCAGATGGCATCACTTGGCACAAAAGTTATTCTTTAAATGGCTTAAGCCGTTTGGACACAGTGAGCACCCGAAGTGAGCGTGCATTATGATGTTTCTGCTGTAGTCACGTACAATGCGCGACGCATTGACGCGCTTTTCGGGGTAGTAGTCACAAGATTATAAGTTCAGGAACATAGGGTGTATACCGTAACCTTCTCGACGTTGCACTGGGGCGCGCATTCTCACGTGTCATCGATTTTCTCGTCTTCTCTGCACCCTCTCAACGAAGAGAGAATGCGTCGAGCAGGCCCGCGCAGAGTACTATGCGCCGTTTATGTAGAAGGTGGAATAGTGCTGGCTTGGTGTTACGGAAAGCGACCGCGCTCTGACGAACGTTGGTGTAGTAACATCCTACGTTCTTAGACTTATAAATATTGTGTAGTCGTATGATTATGCGATCAATGAGGCTACCCCGGCTCTGCGGGGCAGCAATCCCAAAATGTACAAGTGTCGCAGGATTCGCTTCGCCGCGCAAGCAGTGAGGGCTCAACGTTGCTTGCGCGCAGAGTCAACAGGGTGAATATCGGTCGAGGAATTCCTCGACGGGGGGTCGTATTTGCCTCTGTGGAACGGAGGGGGGTCGTAATTGTCGGACTCAGTATCGGACGATTTGTAAGATACAGGATTAGGGGAAGTGGGCGGGGGGGGGCGTCTTACCACCTCTCTCGTTAAACCTCAATGCGTAAGGGAATGTAATAGGATTCATTAGTAGCAGGTCCCATCGCCATGCTCTTCAGCCCTCCTCGTGGTTATGTACCTGATCATCTCAAAAGGCATGAAGTAAAACGGCGGGAAAGAAAGACGACATTTTGTTGAAACACACCACATTTTGTTGAAAGATAAAAGGTCCCCTGTGAATCTAGGTGTTAAAAGTTTCTGGAGGAGAATATTGAGGCTTCAGTGTTCTCTCGATCATGTTTTGTATCTCGAACTGTATCGGCATCTCCTCTACCACTCAGTCCATAAACCGTCATTGAGTGCGTGACATAAAGATTTACAAGTTTCTGTTTATCGCCATAAATTGCAAGTGTAAGCAACTGAGGCTGGACCGTGATTGGAAGAATTCCCACGTTTAGTCACTGCAGAGAACACTTCCGTTTTTATTAGCAAGTCTTCATGCGCTTACAACCTTTCAATTGACTTAAACTTACGAGCGAAGACCGACGGCATGGCGCATACTCGATTGAAGCTAAACGGCGCCGAGCGTATCTAGTTGTACCAGCGACGGTGAAGCGATGCGTTCCTGACGCATTTTGAGAGGTTTCAGTGAATTTGTCTTGCAATGATGTGGCATGAATCTGGTTTTTGAGTGAAGAAAAAACTCCTCGTCATTTTCTCGACGCAGATTTTCTCCTTAAGTGGGAAGTTTTCTGAACAAGTCAGGCGACCATTCGAAAGAGCAATTCTTCTACTTTCTTATGGTGTCCATACATTTCCGAACAATCGAGAATTAAAAAAGTTATCGTCTTGAAAACAGCTAAAATACGCATGACAAATTTGAGTTCCTCGACGTTTACTCGACGTGGAAAATCTCACCGAATAGAGAGTCTTTAGGGCAAGTTCAAAAATAATAAAAAACTGCAGTTGAAGCTCTTTCAAAACTTACCCGCCGTTTTCTAAAACATCAAGTTTTGAAAAAGTTATTAAGGTTCGAAGCATAAGGGGAGGAGGCAAATTTTCGAGATAAATCGCTCCAGCGCGTGAGCCGCGCCGCAGCCGCGTGAGGGAACAGCTGCTCCTTCAAATTCGGTGACTCTATCACTGTTACGTCCTATTTTTTCTCATTGCTGTCAATCTTTCTTTCCGGTGTGTATTCGTGTAGAGTCGGTTCTCGTACAATAGTAGAGTTCTTTTTTTCAGGATCTTTGTGTAAATCGGTGTTTTAGCGCCGTAGTCGCCGCAAAGAGGTGAATTCTCCGTTCCTATTCAGTTTCCTTAACGTGTGTGTACCTGTAAAGTCGGTGCTCATACAATAGGAAAATTTTTTCAGGATCCTTTTCTTGCCGTAGTTCCTTTTCTTACAGCAGTTATTAGTACTTCAGCACTGTTTTGTTGGCATTTGATGTGTGCGGGAAGTAGTGTTGTATCGAGACTCCGCTTTGCGGAAGGGGTCGTACCAAGACCCCCCAGTTTAGGGGGAGGGTCGTATCACAGATGGGTTTTCCTCGACACGATTTTCACCCAGAGTCAACCCTGCGTTGCGCAGTTCGCAACGGCACGTTGAGAGATCCTCAACGCACGCTGTATGGGCGGAGACACAGACGGCTCGAGCATGCGAGTGTGAATGTTCGCGCGAGAGAACGTGTCTAATCGGGCGAAACTGCGCAACGTGGCCGTTGAGAACTGCGCAACGCAGGGTTGACTCTGCTTGCGCGCTTGGCGCGGGTCAAGGGAGGTCGTCCCTGATGCCGCCCCAATTTACGCGGGGCCAATCCGACATGCGTCCATCCTCCACCTCCTACATGAACGGCGCTCAGTATAGTTGGCGAGTTTGCTCGACGCATTCTCTCTTCGTTGAGAGAGCGCAGAGAAAACGAGGGAGGCGAGCACACGCTTCAGCGCGTCAATGCGTCGCGCATTGTACGTGACTACAGCAGAACATCATAATGCACGCCCAGTTCGGGTGCTCACCGTGTCCAAACGGCTTGTCCTAATTTTCGAGCCCATGCCGTGGAGTGAATAGTGTGGGACGTACTAAAATGCGCTATATTGAACTTGACGCCTAAACACCACAGTGTGCGGTGACTCGTCCTCTATCGCGCCTGTGTCTCTGGCTTTGTCTCGCGAAGGGCCTGGGCCACTATTGCTGCACTTGTTTAGTTTCAAACTCTTATACATTTAAGCCTCATTTAACAGCATTATCATGGCTGATCCATTTTTTATACAATCATACACTTTGTGTATTTTTTGTTTAATGAGACCGTGAACGAACAAAGATTCATTACAACCAGTGATCTACATGGTAACCATGTCTCCTCCAGACGTTCCTGATGTTCCACCAGTTGTGTCGCCAGTTGTGCCACCACCAGTTGTTCCACCAGTCGTTCCACCTGTGGTGCCGCCTGTGGTGGTGCCCATCGTTGAGCCAGTCGTTCCACCTGTGGTGCCGCCTGTGGTGCCCATCGTTGAGCCCAGTGTTGTTCCACCCGTCGTTCCTGCAAGCAATTCCACTTATTCAACGAAAGAATGACCAAGCAGCCTTGGTGAGAGATCGGTGAAACTGAAAGCACTACACACCCGATGCCGTGGTCCCGAATTGACTGCCTGTAACTCCGCCAGTGACACCCGACGCGTCGCAACCATATCGCTTGTACATTCCACGATACCTAAAGCATTAATACTTTGCTACTCCGAGTAAACGGGGGTTGGGGAGGGGGACGGGTGTATCGAGGAGGGGGGGGCGGGAAGTGAGTGAGCCAATTACAGAACTTGGGATTGAGCCTTGGGGAGGGACAGGGTTTCGGGGGAGGTAATTTGTGTTCTCCTCCCTTCCTCCCTTATGGTCAGTCTTAGTGTCATCTACCATCGACCCTGTTTTGTTGTTTTGTTTTGAATGTTTCTCCTTAAGGACATGAGCGCCTCGATCAGCAAGAACATATAGTTGACACTAAATACTATATCTCCGTAGAAATTCCCAGCTTTAGTTTTTCTTATTTGCTTTGATGGTAGTAATGGAATTGATGGTAGGCATCTTTATGAAAGTTCTCTCTATTTCATCCCCTTGCGCTGAAATTCCCCCCCCCCCACTGCATTCGAATCTTCGCTCGCGGAAAGTTTGTTTCAAATCGCAGAAATATGCGGAGTTTATCCGCAACCTCACACGCTTGAATTCTGAATTCTACTTCAGAACACGCGAAGCCTTGTCTCCTCCGGGTCGCCGCGCAACTCGCCGCGTGCCAACCCGGACGAGCCAAAAGTTCCGCACCCGTATTTAAAGGCAGCGATTACGATAATTCTAAGAGGGTTCAGGGAGACGAGGTGATGCATTTGGCTAAATCAGACGTTCTCGCCCCCCCCCGCATGAAGGTCCCTCCAACGACAATGAGCGCCCCTGATCGCCATTGGCGGCGCTATGCTAGTTCCTATCTTATCCTCTCCTACTGTTAATCACCGCTTGCCCTCAAAATTACAACGCATGTCAACATATAACTAGATATCAGAACCTGGCGGATTTTATCCGTAATCTTCGCAATCTCCGCTTTAGCGTGTTGAATTCCCGAGAAGCGTCCGGATCGCCGCGCAGCTCGCCGCGTGCCAGCCAAGACGAGCCAAAAGTCCAGTCTCCGTCTTCCGTCAAATACACACGTCCGTCCCCTCCCCAACCCCCGTTTATTCGAAGTAGCAAAAGTATTAATGCTTTAGGTATCGTGGAATGTACAAGCGATATGGTTGCGACGCGTCGGGTGTCACTGGCGGAGTTACAGGCAGTCAATTTCGGGACCACGGCATCGGGTGTGTAGTGCTTTCAGTTTCACCGATCTCTCACCAAGGCTGCTTGGTCATTCTTTCGTTGAACAAGTGGAATTGCTTGCAGGAACGACGGTGGAACTACACTGGGCTCAACGATGGGCACCACAGGCGGCACCACAGGTGGAACGACTGGCTCAACGATGGGCACCACCACAGGCGGCACCACAGGTGGAACGACTGGTGGAACAACTGGGTGCAACAACGGCGACAACATGGTGGAAACATCGGAACGTCTGGAGGAGACATGGTTACCATGTAGATCACTGGTTGTAATGAATCTTTGTTCGTTCACGGTCTCATTAAACAAAAAATACACAAAGTGTATGATTGTATAAAAAATGGATCAGCCATGATAATGGCTGGTAAATGAGGCTTAAATGTGAAGAGTTTGAAACTAAACAAGTGCAGCAATAGTGGCCCAGGCGCCTTCGGCGAGATCAAAAGCCAGAAGACAACAGCGCGATAAGAGACGAGTCACACCGCACACGGTGGTTAGGCGTCAAGTTCAATATACGCATTTTAGTACGTCCACACAATTCATGCAACGGCATGGCTCGAAAATTGGATAAAGCATTGCGACACGGTGAGCACCCGAACTGGGTGTGCATTATGATGTACCCGCTGTAGTCACGTACAATGCGTGACGCATTGACGCGCTGAAGCGTGTTCTTGCCTCCCTCTTGTTTTTTCTGCACCCTCTCAACGAAGAGAGAATGCGTCAAGCAAACTCGCCAACTATAACTGAGCGCGTTCATGGTGATGAAATGAAGGATTGGACGCATGTCGGATTGGCCCGCGTAAATGGAAAGCGGTGCATCAGGGACGAACCTTCTTGATCCAGACGGGCCAAGCGCCCAAGCAGAGTCAACCCTGCGTTGCGCAGTTTTCAACGGCCACGTTGCGCAGTTTCGCCCGATTAGACACGTTCTCTCGCGCGAACATTCACACTCGCATGCTCGAGCCGTCTGTGTCTCCGCCCATACAGCGTGCGTTGAGGATCTCTCAACGTGCCGTTGCGAACTGCGCAACGCACGGTTGACTCTGTCCGCA